GATATGCCAACTTCATCAGCAACTTCTCTAATTGTGATTTGGCAATCATTCAGAACCATTCTTTCCACTTTTCTCACATTTTCATCGATTGTTGACGTGCTGGGTCGACCGGAGCGTTCGTCATCTTCAACGTCTTCGCGGCCATCTTGGAAACGCTTATACCACTCGTAAACACTTGTTTTTTTTCATAGCAGACTCACCATAGGCTTTTTGTAACATTTCACACACTTTGTTACACTTTATTTCATTTTCTACGCAAAATTTAATACGAATTCTTTGATCCATTTCTTTTAAAAAACGAAAATCGCCGAGCTCATAAAAACACGTCAAACCTTAGCAACTACCACAGACGAAGTAAACAGTGAATATAGCTGAAAATTTTATCATACTTTAGGGGCATGTATACCAACACAATAAAAAAAAATTTTGACAATCGGACTCTCCAGACCCGCGAAATTTAAAAATTCAGGGTATTTTTTGAACACACGTCGTACATAATAATGAACATATTGGAATGTAAATTTATGAATAATTTATTGATACTAATACAGTGAGTAATATATGATGATTGTAATTGTAGATATTTTACAGCACTCCATAAATTTTTTTTATTTTGTACGTATCATTTTAATCAAATGATTTCAATAAAATTTGAAAATTTTAAGCAATCAAACTTCTATTCTACCAACAATACTCGAATAGTGCACAAAATAACAGTATACTCATAAATGACTTGAAGCTTATGTATTATTGACTATAGTCTTAATTTTTGTATTCGACATTACTAATGTTGACTACATTAAGTCCAATAAAAGTACGGTGTTGAGTTTGTTTGTCATCAATACTAGCCGAATACAATTTCTTTGGTTCAATAATCATTTTGAAATGAAGCTTTGGTAAATAATGCTTAAAATAAAAATTTTCACTCTTTGATATCACTTTTTTTTAAAATGAATCATTTCTACGTACAGTCACTTAATAACATCCATCTTTGATTGGAGGATACATGAACAGATCACATTCTTCAGTACCAGTTACATACATTTGCACTTGGTATTGTGTATAATAAACTGAGCTTTCTTTTAAACTAACAGTACCATTACCATCTATCTGTAAGTAACTTACATTAACCTCTTTTGTTTCACTATTCACAACAGGTTTCTTGGTACATTTATAAGGACACTTAATTTCAACGAGCTTAGCAATAAAATCATCTGCTATCACAGCTCCGTCAGGACATGCACATAACCATGGCTGATCTTGGGCAACAATTAGACCAAACTCTTGCACCTGGACATTACATAAAAGCTCATACAATTTACGAGCCCTAGTTTCATTTCTATTTCCGTAATTGATAGCCGGAGTGCTTACTTTCTTAGGGTACAGCATGTCTTCTACAATAGAATCGATAATCCGCACTTTTCTTGACTTAATGGTATGAACATTTGTACTTGCAGATATTCGCAATCTTCTAGCTGAATACCATACATCAGATTTTGATTGATATAGTGTATTAAAACATAATTCTATTATTTTATTTTGTGACTGAAGTACAACGTACTTTTCATAGAAGTCTTTCATCTCGTCTTGTATACTAATAACTTCCTTATAAATATTGTGGACTTCTCGAAGTTGCAACATTATTTGTACATACTCTGAGTATTTTTGTTTTTTCTCTTCTTCTTCTTTTTTACGTTGCAAGGCAATGTTTTTAGAATTTTATTTGTGGCTTTCTTCATCTACAAGTAAAATTTGTTTCAACGTTGATGGACCTTTTAGTTCTGAAACATCCACAGGCAGTGGTTTAATATCAGCTTTCTTTGGTATAGGTGGAAACATCATAGAAAAACTGCGTCCTTTGGAATATCTTTCCTGTACATATTGTCGAGCAGTCGGATTTTCCCATTGCTGTTCGAAACTTGTCTTGCTCAAGCTTTCAACGTTATTAATATAATAAATGAATGCTGCCACATGTTTGCACTTTCCACTTTGGTTGTAAACACAATTACATGAAACATTGCACACTATGCGTTGTGGATTTATCTACAAAATAATTATTCAGAAATATATTTTTTGACATTATTTCAGTATAAAAATAAACCTTGAACAATTACACTAAAACTAACTGTGTACGGTGTTGCGCTTACATTGACTTGCCTTATAACATTAACCTTGATTAAATAACTAATTCCATTTTTTCTATACTCGGTGACGTCTCGAAGATGACCAGCCTTTGCCAACGCTTCTCCTTTTGGCTGTGTTTGCTTTTGAAACTGAATACTATGATCTAATGTAGTAAAACCTGTTTTTATAATTATAGAAGTCATGCTTTTAAATATCTACCTGCAAAGAAACTGTTGGAATTACCTTCATTATTAAGGCTATTTTCTACTTATAAACTGTTAAATAAATTTGTATTAGTACATAAAAACATGGTTAACTATTAACTAATTTATTAAAAGTGCCGGTGCACTTGCATTCGCGACGTAAACATAGATACATAACCTTATATCTATGATTTACGTTAATCTAATCATATTTTGTGGAAGAGATATTCACGATTTTTTATTTTTTTTTATTTGAGAATTTGGTTGCACAACCCTATTACATTATTGTCAACTATGTATAAAAGCTCTTTTTTAATTAGATAATTTTATAATATAATTTACGTACTAATCGTATGTTATTGTTACGCCAATAGTTTTTCTGTTTGAGCCACTAGAAGGCACCAGGAGCTTTTCTCGGTCCCTATAAAACTGTGTAAGTTATTTTAGCTGACGCGGCCGCCATCTTGAAAATTAATTTCCTTAGCTAATTTTGCTAATATGCATCCAATTTATTGTCACAAGACTCAGAAAAGTCATTTTTTCCGCTAAAACTTTGATTATACTTCAAAAGTACATATTACTGTGATTTTGCAATAATTTCAGGCATTCGGGCGCCATTTTGAATTGGTTAACAATAAAAATCCAAGTTTGTCAAAGCCGAGAACATAGTAAAAATTCATTAAACAAAATTCATTAAAAAAAAAATCGAAAATCTCCATTTTTTTGTTTATTGTTAAAAAATAAACAATTTGTGCTCATTTATTGATAAATCTGACGATGCTATTTGAAAGATGAGACCTTTATACACCCAATATTTTTTCCACACGGGTTGTAATTGAAAGGCCCGAGCTTGAAGTTGACGTTAAAATTTTGGCCTTTTGCACGTTAAAGGGTTAATTGAAATAGGCAAGTTTGAGTTTTCAATGGTACTTATAAACTACATTTAAAATGATTTGAGGTGTTGTAACGGGGTAGCTATCCGTTTATTTAATTTATGCGCGCGATCGTATCGAAGAGCGCGCGATCGTATCGAAGAGCGCGCGAGATTATCTACACGTTTAAATTCGACAATCGGGGAGCAGGAGGGAATGGGTGTCAGTCAACCAACCATCTACTATTGAGAAATAACAATATTAGAATTACGTTCAATATTACAAGCGAGATCGTTTATTGCCTCTTAATGCTACACTGTATTCGGCCCGCGTATTTATGTTTACAAGACGCGCGCGCGCAACAATAACATGCAGTGTCGGATCGCTCGCCACTCTTTGTTCGCCGAGTTATTACATGCACGCTTCTTACGGAGCACGAAAGATTAGTTATTAGCAATTATTTAGCAACCGCGAAATCAAGCTGGCCAGCTTACCTTATTAACGCTCGCACGAGTAACAAGTGAGGTGATGGAGACTCGTACGGCACACGCTAGTCTTTCGGCAATGTTTATCTGCGGGCGATGGTATCCCACGTTTACGGTTTCGCCCTCGATGGCGAAACTCTCCGCTCACGCACACTTGCACGCACACTTTCAAAACGGGAGAAGGCACCGCTGCTGTACTTCCAGGTCGGCTCGTATCGGCACTCAGGATAACTCGGAAAACACCAATTATAATTTCTGCGCTGCTCTGCGATCGGGTATTAATCCTCGACTGGTTCGTTTTCAAACGCGCGCGTTCCGTCTCGTCTCGTACCGAATTCCCTCAGTATATTTCGCCCCAACCGGCTGGTGCTGCCCTCGCCGGCAGCCGCATGGTTGGACTGTTAGCGCTAATAAGACGTTCACCGTCACAGTGTGTAAAAATAGATTATTGATTCATATATAATCTGTAAATTCCATTTAATAATGCAATCGACTCAAACAACACTTATAATCATAAAAATTTAATAAATTCATTTAACATTTAATAAATTCTTTGGCATCAAATCATGAATCCCAATTGCTGAGTTATCCAATAATGTACAACATGCATGAAACAAGAATTATGAACATTCAAAGTCACGAATAATATGAACTCATTACACTCCGATAAGTTAACATTAAACCCAAACCTCAAGAACCCTAGATTCTTTACACCCATGAAAGGCTAACCCCCAAGTTTACATTCCAAGAATCCTATACTTTTTTTTCTATTTCAAAGAGCGATATCTCCGCTTTAAAAATTTTAATTGAAAAAATTAGGTAGTGTTTTTTAAAGTAGACAACTTGCTCTTTCGAATGCTTTTCCCAGTTTTTGACTAAAATGGAAATTAACGATAGAAGAGTTAAAAACAGCAAAAAACCGTCTTTCTTGCACTTTTATGTTACTCTGAAATTGGGGGTGATGGATCAATTCTGAGGCTAGATCTGGATTCAGTTCATAAAATTCCTTCAGGTATACTAGGTCTGGTCTCTGGATTTCGACTTTCATCAAATTTTGTCGGCCTGTGTTATTTTTCAAATTAATGTTTGCATGACATAAATATAAATTTGTGCTTGTAGCTTGCAGCTATTATCAATCGTAACAGCACAGATGGTGACACATGCTCATGAATATATTTTACAAAGAGAATATATTTTTTTCAATAGTGAGGCAGTTTATCTGCTAATGACTCTTTAAAACTAAAAATTGAATTATTTATAAGAATATATTATTGAAAATTATTGAATAAAATAAAATTCTTAATTCATGGTTATAGCTCCGCCATCTCCGTTACCTGCAACCAGCGATTCTACGGATTGTGGAGGACACTATCCAGTCAGAATATCTAATCAGTCCAGTGGTGGAACGCACAGTCCTCCACTCCCTCCACCTCCACCACCAGAACAAGAGGAATTTTCTCAATTTGGCAGATTGATGTCATGTACGGCAGCAATCAAACCGATAGTTCCTGAAGAAGAAGACTTACCAGGATGGGTCCCAAAAAATTACATAGAAAAAGGTATACAAACACACACATGCACGCATGCACATGCACACACATATGTATGTATGTATATATGTATGTATTACAACGCGGGATTCTATTTTATTACATACAAAAGTGGCAAAATTAAATTTTTAGGTGACAGGCATTGATTACACAGGTCAACATAAAATTTCTCTAAAAATACCAGTAATGTATCCTGAATTATTTCGATACGTTGCACACAAACCCAACCTCGAAATTGCTCTATCACGTCATACTTTCGAAATATCCTAATCTAAAAGTGTAAAAGACATGTTTTTTGGTTATATTGGAGTTTTTATTACATCATGAGAAAATTTCTTTTTGAAAATGACTCATACCATCTAAAAGTACAACTCTTCTATTTCACTCAAAATCCATTTTTCAGATTGAGAATATCTGTTTTTTTATAGAGATATTGTCAGTAAGTATTTTAGTGATATCTGAACATCGCCTACATCATTGTTTTATCTAAGTCTATGCATCAGAGCTTGTAGATGACATTGTAAGGATATATAAGAGTTTTTTGAGTCGCTGGTCATGAATCCGAGGTCGTTTGACCTTTATCACGTCAACTTAAGGTCAGATCATCATCATCATAAGATGGGTGGCGCATTTGCTTACAGCTCATAATGAGCGAGCTCGTATGGTTGCATCTGAGTGATGTTTGAGCATGTTTCAACTTAATCCAAAGAAGAATCTGCCAATATGCTCTTGTTTCATTATCCTTGATCCTTCTTTCCATTTCCTGGATGTCTTGGTGAAATCTTTCTCCTTACCCTTCGCTCAAATCTCCCAGATTTTCAGGGAAAGAATCTCAATGAGACTTAAAAAAATGTACCTTCAAGCTCATGTTGCACCCTAATAGTTTGGAACTAGTAAGCATATTCTTAACTAGTGTTTGATAGTTTTCTACTTTGTTAAATCTTTAAAATTGATTAATGCCGTACGTTTTTTTATCATTATTGTAGGTTCAAAATTCTTCGATGTTATCAATTTTATTATGTCAGGGCCTGCGAAAATTCCTTCCTTTATCTTTCCATCAAATAAACCTGGGAATTTATCTAGTACATACTTAAAACATTTCCCACTTTGATCGAATGCTTTGACGAATTGCTTTATCAATCTTAATTTAATGGGCAGAGGATGGGTATTGGATTACAAAACGGATTCTTTAAAACATTGAGTGATCCTGGATCAATAGGCTCACGTAATGGCCAATCAAACTTTTATCAGTGATCTGTAGTAGCTCTAATAAATCACAAAAAAATATAATAGGAAAATTTAGCGTACCCTAATTGTTATCTAAAAAGGATGACCTTTAAATCACCGCATACAAGCCATTTACGAGGTCTGTTCAAAAAGTATCGCGAATTTTGAATTTCCACGGGCTACGTAAATTTGATTTTTGATTTTTTTATAGCGTTATGTTAGTACTCATGTCCCTTACTTATGCTGACAAGGTCGGCCATTTTGAATGTTTAGTTAATTATTGACAGCTGTTTTGCTTGGATGTGTTTTTGCTCGTCTTCGAATTTTGCCTATTCTGAAAAATGGATCAAAGAATCTGTATCAAATTTTGTGTGAAAAACAAAATAAAGTGCATTCCGAATGTTGACTGTGGCATATGGTGAAGCTACCTTGGACTAAAGCAACGTTTATCGCTGGTACAAAATGTTCTCAGAGGGCCGAGAAGATGTGAACGACAAACAACGTGCCGGACGCCCGAGCATCTCAACAACAGATGAAAACATTGATAAAGTGAAGAAAATAGTATTGGCCAATCGTCGAATCACCGTTAGAGAAGTTTCTGAGGATCTAAACATGTCGATTGGCTCATGCCACTCAATTTTAACCAATGATTTGGGCATGAGTCTGGTCGCCGCGAAATTCGTGCCAAAACTGCTCAATTTCGACCAAAAACAGCATCGCGTTAACATTGCTCAGGAGATGTTGGACTCGGTCCGTGACGACCCAAATGTGCTCTAGAGGATCATAACTAGCGATGAATCATGGTTTATATTTATGATGTGGAAACCAAAGCTCAATCATCCCAATGGAAGCTGCCACATGAGCTAGGACCGAAAAAAGCGCGCCAAGTTAGGTCGAACGTGAAGGTTTTGCTCACAGTTTTTTTCGATTACAGGGGTATGGTGTATCATGAGGTCTTGCCACAGGGTATAACGGTTAATAAGGAATATTACCTACAAGTTATGCGTAATTTGCGCGAAGCAATCCGCCAGAAACATCCTATTTGTGGAAGAACAAAACGTGGTTTTTGCACCATGATAACGCCCCTGTTCACACATCATTACTTGTGCACAAATATTTGGCCAAAAACAACATAGTAATAGTGCCGCAGCCACCGTATTCCCTAGACCTGGCCCCCTGTGACTTTCCCTTTTTCAAAACTGAAAAGGCCCATGAAAGGACGACGCTATGCCACGACTGAGGAGATAAAGATCGTATCGAAGGAGGAGCTGAAGGTCACAAAAAATGATTTTTTTCGACACTCCGTACGGAAAGTGCATTTTTTCCCGCACGCTCGACAAAAAACGTGTGTTGAAAATCGCACTTTCCACACGTCGTATCAAAAAATATGGTACGGCATATTTTCGGGAAAGAGTTTCTTGTTTCGTAATGTACTATTTTAAGCGCTTCGAGGATTGAAAGAAACGTTAACACAAGTGCATTATATCCCAGGGGGATTACTTTGAAGGAGATAAAATAGATATTCATGAATAAATAAAAAATTTTTGAAAACATACAAAATTCGCGAAACTTTTTTAACAGACCTCGTATGTTGGTCAAATTTGATTTTTTCTAACACTACTTGCATATTCTTATAAGACTCTTTTAAATACGCTGAATGAGCAACAAGAATTGGAACTTATTTGTTGCGATTGTTAAAAACAACTGCTTTTAAACTTCTTTTGGAAGTATCCACAAAGAGACGCAATTTAGAAGAGTTCTAGATTAAGCCTAATTTCATCATCAAGCCATTCACGTTATGACAGTAAGTCAAGTGATCTTCCTCTTTAAAAAGTTCAATATATTTTTGCTCTCTGTTTCTCTACTAAGAAAAAGTCGTTCCTAAAGACAGTAGATTCATCTCTTTCAATGTGGAACCTAGAAGTAGATCTATTCTTGGGCAGATCTAACTCTTTGACCGAATTCTTCAGAAGAGCTTGCGTGAACAATTAAGGAGATTCATTTGTATCGAAATATACACTTTCATCTGCTTGTTCACCTTCTTTCTTGATGTTTCTTATTTGCTCTAAGTTCTTAGAAGATCCAGGCGAAAATGCTTTTTTCTCGAGGGGCAGTCCTCTTCAAAGTCAGAAGATTCCTGTAAAATTGACTTTATAACGGAAAAGATATTGAAATAAGATATAAAAGATTTATTTTTAGTATTAAAACCTGTCAGATCAATCAAACAGAAAGAACATTCATCATGACCACGTAGTTCACGCCGAATAGTGGGGGAACAGAAAGGAAATTTTTGTGAGTTAGATCCATCTTTATTCCACCGTGTTAATATTAAACGACAAAAATGACAAATTTTCTTCGACCTCCGTAATGGAATAACAGAAATAATTCTTGTATACACCTTTCATAGAAATCTGTTGTATTTCTACTTTGCTTCGAGATAGTATGTGTATATAACCTTCAAATATAACAGAACTTGTCTGGATCATTCTTTTAACGTCGATTTGATTTGGATAACTCGAAGACAATAAGCAGTGACAGGAATGTTTTTATGTAAAAAAATAAATATCCAGCCAAAATTGATCAGAATAAGAAAAACTAAGAATGAAAAAAAACTCCCGACTATTCTAAAAAGAACTGCCAAGAATATTTGCACTCGATTGCCAGTAGAAACGTTGAAATTAGTCTCTACTACGATGATTCGATTGACCGTTGTAGTGCTAAAATCTCCAACTACACTAAAAAAGGTGAATGAGAAAAAGCGTTTCTCATGTCATGCAAAATTAGATTTACCTGTACTGGGTTTATCGAGGGGTTATTTAGGGGTTATCAAGGTGATATCAAGGGGTTATTCAGTAATATGCGAAAGGTGTTGATCAGGGGGTGTGCAAGTGGTATTAATTAAGGGGTATTCGAGTGGATCAGGGTATTCAGAAGGTATGAGCAAATGATATACTTGAATTCTAAGATTCAATAAATATACATTTAACTCTTTTCAGACGTTTCTCGTGTTTTACATTGAATCATTTGTATAGCCTTGAATTTAACATAATAGAGGTCAACCATACTCAAATTTGTGAACAGTGATCCAAAAAACCTTAATATAAATTTGTTCATATTTTTCTTAAAGGTTTTTTAAAATTAACGTTGAACTTATCCTTAAATATGCTTTAGTTAACCTCTACATGACTTTGTAAGGTCAAGCAAATGATATATTCAAATTCATCGATCCAAAAAATATATATCTAATTTTTTTCACATTTTTTTTTATTAACAGCGATTTGAACCTTAAATGACCTTGAACTTGACGTAATAGAGGTCAAAGGACCTTGGATTCATGATTATCAAATCAAAAAACCCTTATATCCTTACACTGTCATCTGCAAAGTTTGGAGTATCAGCTAAGACAAAACAATGTCCTGTGCAATGTTAAGATACCACTAAAATATTTAACTCTAATTGACAATATCTCAATGAGAAAAAAAAACATATTCCAAATATGAAAAATAGGTTTTGAAAGGTAAGAGCTGTACTTTTAGACGGTATGAGTCAGTTATCGAAAAAGAATTTCCTGTGATGTAGTAAAAGCTCAAATATATCCAAAGAATATGCTTGTTATACTTTTAAGATATCTCAAAAAGGGAAACGCGATAGAGCAATTTCGAAGCCGGATTCGTGTTCAGCATAAAACTCTAGGAAGAAAATTTATAAACATTGAAAACAGCAGAGGTCCGAGGACGCTGTCCATGGGGACTCTGATCCGGGCCTGCACCCTTTGTAATATA